CCTGCCTGCATTTACCCAAGCAGTGTTTTAAACAACTGAGCTATTAGGCAAAGCCCCTAAGGAAGCTTTTATGAGTAACCAGTTCATGTGAGTAGGAAGGGTGTTTATGGATTCATAAGAAACACAGTTCCTTGCCCTATAACAATGTTTCATTCAATGACAGATTGAATATACTGTGGTGGTCTCATAGATTATCATGAAGCTCAAAAATCCTCTTGCTTGCTGACATTGTTGCCCTGATGATGTTGTAGCATGACACATTGCTCACATGTTTATGGTATTCCTGGTATGAACAAATTTACCACCCTGCAAGTTCAATAAAAGAACAGCACACTTATGTACAGAACATACAACTTGATGCCAGCAATAAAATTATTTCCTGTAATTTCCTTTTTAATGTTATGTGATTATCAAGCTTGTGTAAGTATGCCTATTCCTTAGTATTTGTAAAATGATGAAATCATCTGTTTCTCAGAAGGTATCCTTATTGTCAAGCAATGTACCACTAAAGCAGCACTGATAAAATTTCAGCTGCTTATGTTCTGCCCTTACTTGTTGAATACATTTCCTTTCTTGAGCCTTATTTCTCATAGTTTTTTTTTGGCAGAACTGGGGATTGAATTCAGGCCCCTGCTCTTGCCAGGCAAGTGCTTATTCCATTGAGCCATCTCCCCGCACCCCCCCTTTTTTGGGGGGGGGGAACCAGGAATTGAACTCAGGCCTTTGCACTTGCCAGGGAAGCGCTTATTCCACTGAGCCATCTCCCTGGCCCCCTATTTCTCATAGTGTTCCCTTGGAGTGGATTTTCTTGTCTTGGCAAACTTCTTTGCATTTTTCAAGACTTGATGCTGATAGCTGTTCTCAGGTTCAGAAGGCTGTGACTCAGTTCTCTGGAGGACATACTTGACTTTCATAATGGTAGCTGGTAGTATTTTATGGAGGATTTTCTTTATGCTGGCCTATGTTTTAAATGTTTCCATCATACTAACTCATATATGCTTTTACCTTAGACATAAGTACTAATTTTATTTTATTTTATTTTTTTTATAGGTTCAGGTATTTTTTTAAGTATTTTAATTTTATTTATTTATTTATTTATTTATTTATGTGTGTGTGTGTGTCTGTGTGTGTGTGTGTGTGGCCAGCTCAGCCCACCAGGGAGCGGGGCTGGCTGGCATGTGGTGCTGGGAGATTGAACCGCGGTCCCTGTGCTTTGCTAAGCTTGTTCTAAGTAGGTGCTTTAGACCACTGAGCCATCTCACCAGCCCATAAGTACTAATTTTAGTCCCATTTTACAGATGACAAAAATTGAAGCACAGGGGATTACGCTGCTGAAGACCACAAGGCTTAGCATGTGGTAGAGCTCAGATCCTGTATAGTCTGACTCCAGACCCACTGCTAGTTCTCTTTAGTGGCCCCTTGGGTTGGAGTCTTAACATTCCTGCTGCTTCTGTGGGACCTGTATTGTGGAAGAGCATAGACATTAGAGTCAGTTAGAACTGAGTTAAAATTCTTGTCTTTTTTAACCTACTGATTATGTAGCATATGACCTAACCTCTTTGAGCTTCATATTTCCCATTTATTGTAAAGATTAAGGTATATTTTTGAAGTTAGCAAGGAGAATATTACTATTCTTAGTTTACAAATGAAAATATCAAAGTAGAAATTATTTGTGACTAGTGCAGGCAAGAGAGGTAGGAATAAAAGGCAGCCCGGGCGGGCCCTGAACTCACCATGATCCTTCTGTCTGAGCCTCCCCAAGTGATCGTGTGAGCCACTATACCTGGCTATAAGTTAATTTTTTGACATCAGCTTTTTCAGTGTAGTCATTCAAAGTGTAATGGTGGGGATGCACTCGAAGAAATCTATTATTTGTCTGTTTCATCATTTGGAAACATCGCGAAGTCTACTTACGTGAATTAAGATAGCCATGATGTCAGTAGGCGATACAGTCTTATGGGACCACTGTGACCACTGTCATATTCAGTCTGTTGTTGGCCAAAATATCTTTATGTGATTCATAACTGTACTTAATTTAGTAAAAAAAAAAAAAAAAAAAAAAGAAAGAAAAAAATGTTGCTCCCCAGTTTTGGAGGGTAGACTTTGGCCTGATATTAATTCCTTGTAATTCTTGTTCTTTTTTAGGTTCACGGGTGCAAGTATCACACTACTGG